ATTATTATTATTATTATTATTATTATTATTATTATTATATTCATTTAAATAGCTATTTTTTTGGGCTATCAATTTCTCCTGGTATTCCAAATCAATGACCAAATGTTAGGCCAGCCCTATGTATCCCTGCCCCACAAAGGTTCCAGTGAATTGCACATCTGGGCCTTGATTTCTAAACCTGTAGATCCCATCTGGTCTTGGAAGCTAAGCAGGGTCAGCCCTGGTTAATATTTGGATGGGAGAATGCCAATACCAAGTGCTGTAGGTACTGGCAAAACCACCTGAGTAGTCCTTGCATAAGAAAACCCTTGTGGTCTCTTCCAACTCTGTGATTCTATGATTCTATGAAATTCACAGGGTCACCACAAGTCAACAGGTGATTTGAAAGCACATCCACCCACATAACCACTACAACACTGCTTTGATGTTTGACAATGTGCAAGGGTGTATATGTTTCCTGCCCTCACAGAGGTTTTCATCATTTGTATGTAGAAGTCCAACATCTTTCAACAAAATTTTGTAAACATAACTTAAACAAGGAGCATTTGAAGTAACACTAAAGACCTTATTACATGGAGGCAAATTGCTTAAATGCAGAAACGGGATTTTAAATGTGAAAAAAACCCCTCACAAAAGCAGGTTGTTTTTCAGACGTGTGTTTGTGTAAAGGAGAAATAATGCAACATTAACTGGAACAGAAAGTTATCAAACCCCACTCCTTTTACTTTTGGAAGTTCCCAAAAGTAAAAAGAAGCAGGTTTTGGTGCCTTTCCATTTGGATTAATGTCACGTTATTTCTCCTTGATGCCAATGTTGTGTGAAAAACAACCCACTTTTGCAGGTTTTTCTACTTTCTGTTCGGGTTAATCCCAAACATCATATGAAAAACAACCCACTTTTGCGGGTTGTTTTCACTTTAAATCCAGTTTCTGCACAGGATCTGTCCCATGTGATAAACTCCTAAAATAAGAAAAAAGAGAGAAATAAAGGCCTCTCCTTGTGTGGATTCAGAACCATTAAAAAAACAACCTCCCCCATCTTCAATAGATGAATATTTTTAAGTCAAAAGATGAGCACAGAGAAATGTATGGTAACGTCTCCAGTTACATAGCAATGTTCTCATATATTCATGAAAGAAAAATGAGGAGAGGTGACAGTTATGGGAAGCAAACATTTATGAAAATTCTTTTTGGAAATGTTTACACTATGTCTCCACTAGCTTAAGCTCTGCTGGTGCCATGAAGAGTGAGTGCATGTGCCTACAACTACATTTGTATGTCTTATTTCCTTTCTATTTGCATATGCTAATAAATGCAGTTGGCTATTCAAAGCCAAGGTTTTGTTGTTATTGTTAAAAATGCAGAAGGGGAAGAAGGAAGAAAGCTCACTGTATTTATACTTTTTCCTCACATAAACTGCCATTGAACCTACCATTTGAATATCAGCATGTGAGTGTTGGGAGGTATTCCACTCACCACAAAAATTTGTCCAAAGTTAAATGTGAAGCAAATTTGGTGGACTCAGTTCAGGGAAACTTTCTAAAGGAATATTTGAGAAATATTCACATTTGAGAAATTCTGGTAGGGTCAGTGGTAGTTTTCAAGGAGGACGCCCATCTTGATACATCACTGCCTTTTCACTACAGTGCAATTTGGAGTGCATTTGGAAGGTCTTTGTTGTTGTTGTTGTTGTTGTTGTTGTTGTGTTCCTTCAAGTAATTTCTGACATGGCGACCCTAAGGCAAACCTATCATGGGATTTTCTTGTCAAGATTTGTTCAGAGGATGTTTGCAATTGTCTTCCCTTGAGGCTGAGAGCATGTGATTTGTCCAAGGTCATGGCCAAGCTGGGAATTAAATTCTAGTCTCCAGAGTTGTGGTTCAACACTCAGACCACTATGTCATGCTGGCTCTTACCCACATGAAAGATCTTTAGGAGTTCCAAGGATATTAAAAAGTTGATTTTTTTAAGCTGGAAGATACCTTTTTAGTAGATAGGTAGCAATAGATATTTACACCAAAGTGGCATTCATCACCTTGATTCTATGATTTAGCACCTTATTGCTGAGGAGCATGAAGTGAGGCATGATAAAAATGCTGAAAGCATGGAATCACAGTGGAAGTGCTGCAAGTTAGATTAAATCTGGTAACCAGGCTTGCTGTGCTGGGGTTGCCCCCCTGCCCCCTCTATGTGATGACACATTCCTCATGAAACAAGTGGTCCCTTTATGTGGCATTTGTCTCTGGGATCTTTCACCCCTCCCAATTGGCATCACACAAACTGGCTCCATTCAGCACTTCCTCTGCATGAAAAGTAAGGGAGTGGAAGTGGCAATGATAGCAGTGCCTCCACAAACTGAGGGCCTTGGCAGATGGCTTAAAAAGCCGTCCTCGGTGCAGGGAAGGGGAGGGGCAGCCGCACGCTTGGCGCCCCCTCCCCCTCCCGAGGACGACCTCCCGCCGCAGCATCCGGACACGCTGCGGTGGAAGGCTCCCGAAAGTGCGCCACAACGTTTTGCGGTGCCCTTTTGGCGACATATGAAAGGAGCGCTATTTTAGCGCTCCTTTCTAGGGGCTCTAATGGGGATGCCTCGGTCCCACGGCGCACCTTCCCAGGGTGGCCTATGGCCGCCCGTCTGCTTAGGCCCTGAGAAAACAAATACAGTATTTTCTGGCATATAAGACTACTTTTTAACCCAGGAAAATCATCTCCAAAGTCGGGGGTCGTCTTATACGCAGGGTAGCAGAGGAGGAGGAAGAAGGTGTGGTGAGGTGGGAGGAGGAGGAAGAGAGGAAGTCCATGTCAGAGGAGGAGGAGGAGGGGAGAGGAAGGGGTGGCATAGTGTGGCATGAGGCAGGAGGAGGAAGCTGCAGCGGATAAGAGGTGAACCTCTATCCTGGGTTTTTCTTGGCAAGACTGGTACAGAGGAGGTTTGCCATTGCCTTCCCCTGAGGCTGAGAGTGTGTGACTTGTCCAAGTTCACCCAGTGGGATTCATAGCAGAGTGGGGAATCAAACCCAGGTCTCCAGAGTGGTAGTCCAACACTCAAACCACTACACCATGCTGGCTCCTATTCCCATGTACTATCTATGAAACAATTGCAGACTTTTTTGTTGTTCTTGTGAGTCTTCAAGTGCTTTCCAACTTATGCCAACCCTAAGGCAACCTTATCATGGGGTTTTCTTGGCATGTTTCTTCAAATGGGGGTTGCCATTACCATCCTCTGAGGCTGAGAGTGTGCGACATGCCCAGGGTCACTTACTTGGCCATAAATTGTACATACCCCAGAATGCATCACCTAGCATATTGGCAGTCCTTTCCCCCCAAACACTTTCTCATTTTCTCCCATTGGAAGAAGGGTCATCTTATATGGTGAGTATATCCCAAACTCTCTATTTTAACCGGAAAGGTTGGGGGTCATCTTATATGACCCCCAACCTTATATGGTTGTCTTATACGCCGGAAAATACAGGTATTATAACAACTGTCTGGGAGCAAACCATTAGATGTGCTGGGCTTGCCATCATGGATCACTAGAATGAGGCTGTTTAAGTACTATCACCACTAGCACATTATGAAATTACAGTAGAAAATACAGAAAAATATATTACAGTGGGCCCTTGGTAACCACTGGGGTTGGGTTCCAGGACCCCCTATGGATACCAAAATCCATGGATGTTCAAGACCCATTAAATACAATGGATATTAAAATGGTTTCCCTTATATAAAATGGCATATAAAAGATTTGCTTTTGGGAATTTATATATTTTAAAAATATTTTCAAGCTGTAGATGCTTGAATCCATGGATAAAAATCTGTGGATAGGGGGGCTGACTGTAAAAAGATGATGGAAGCAATAGAGAGAGGAGGCAAATAAAAGACATAAAAGAATCCATGAATATGGGAGGGCAGAGTATAATTATATCAATTCCTTCTCTAGAAAGGCAGGACTGAGGGAATACATCTTCTAGAACCCCTTCTGTAGTTGAAGTCCACTTTCTTTGTGCTAACTGTGTACACAAGATGTTGCAATGAGGTTTACAGGTCCCCCTTTCCTTCTTGTTCTCTCCCACGGCTAAAGTAATAAATTGTGACATCTGAAGTTCTGTTCTGTGTAACCCAAGCCTTGTAAAAATCAGCCCCCAAAAGCCAAATGGAGATTCTTTCCATAACTTTGTTTATTCAGCCTTTTCCCCCTCCTGTCCTTCTAACAGCTGAGACAAATTCAGAGTGTTAACAAGAATTATCAGAAAGACAGAATCTAAATGTGTGCATTAACTTGTAATGGCCTCTCTTCACCCTTCCTTGACAGGGCTCAATTTTATTTTATTTTATTTTTTTAAGAGCCTGAATTGCAGAGAAGATTTGAGACATGAACATGGCGCTGAAGTCCTCTCAAGATGGCTGTTTTTTTTAATAGGAAATAATGTTGCTTGCTTTCTTTTTTGTATATTTATATATTTTATGGTAAGGATAGAGTCAGCATGGCATAGTGGTTTGAATGTTGGACTCCAACTCTGGAGACTAGGGTTCAATTCCCAGCTGGTCCACAAAACCCACTGGGTGACCTTTGCAAGTCACATACTCTCAGCCTTAGGGGAAGGCGATTGCAAATTTCCTTTGAACAACTCCTGGCAAGAAACCCCCATTATAGGTTTGTCTTAGGATTCCCATAAGTCAAAACAATTTGAAGGCACACAACAACAACAACAACAACAACAACAACAACATAGTAAGAAGACAGGAAAAAATACCATCAGGAATTGGAGATGAAATAGTCCCCCCTTTTTTATCCTAGGAAAAAATACCATCAGGAATTGGAGATGAAATAGTCCCCCCTTTTTTATCCTCTACTTGGATGTGACAAATTGAAAGTCATTTCCTCATTTTTAGGATGGGCTGTGAAATCCATACAAAATCTGGGGATTTAGTTGCTGACTCCAATGATGTTGGTTCTTTTTTCCTTTAAATTCTTTCTGACATGATCTGTGGTGGCAATAGCACTGGATATTGCCATTGGTGGCTCTTACCTTTTCCTGCTCCCAAAACTGTGCTAACATTCCTGCCTTCTGAAATTCCCACAGTACTTTATAATTTAGAAGCTTTCTTCTGCAAAAAGCAATGTTGTTTTTTTTTTTTTTGAATGAGTGGGATTAAGCGTTTTTACAGAGAATGCTCCTCAAAGGTGATTCATTGATGATGTACCTAGGTTGCCCAGTGATGGCACTGTTACCTAGAAACCATCTAGAACTGTAGGACTGGCCCATTTATTTGAGCACTTCATTGCACAGATCTATATAGTGAATAAGCAAAGCCTCCATGTTCTGGTGCCAAGCCATGTCCTTTGGGAGAAGACATCCTGTTGGACTTCTCAAGCCATGGAAGGCCAAAGGGGAGAATGTTAAGGAAGTCAGAGACAATGGAAAAGTTATTATTATTTTTTGGATGATCACTCTTAGAAGCCCTCAATCTGGCTGGGGGATTCTGGGGAACTGTAGTCCAAAAAGTAACATTTCCAAGCTCTTGAAGTTATCATCTCCCTCCTCTTTAGGTTTTGTGCAGGGGACTCTGTCTTCGAAATGCCTTTAAATGGGCTAGAGTTGTTAGTCCAAATGTGCATGTCCCTGAGATGGTTCACATTCTTCTGTGCTAATGGACCATAGCTCCTCCTTCAGTTAGGCTGGCTTCAGGCTGTTGGCTTATTTCTCAAGGGCTCATCGTCTTACAAAGTCCCATTGCTGGGACTCATGATTCCTTACTGGACTCGTACCAAGAGATTCACACATCAACTTAGATTAATCCTTTCTTTCATTGCAAATTTCTAATGTACTCGTTAAATTTCCCCATTTGGAAGATAATTTCTGAGGCAGAACTTTGTCCTTGGACTTTTAAATCTCTCTCCAAATATTAGCTGTTGGAGAACAGAAAAGGGTCCTCTGTTCCAACATGCTCTAGGAAAGGACAGATCTGTTGGAGAATTGTTAGTATATGTGCTTGCTTAGGTTGTGAGAGGGGAATTTGCTTTTCCAACTGATGTAATTAATTTACTCAAATGCTCCTGTTACTTTTCTATGAAGAGCTGCTCCTTCTGTGCTCTAAAAATGTTCAGAATGAAAGGTTTTGCAACTTACCCACATTTGAATGCAAACTCTTAGCTGAAAGAAATACTCATTGAATGTTTTTGCCTATTAAAGTGCCGTTTGGCTCAAGGAGATCACAGAAAAGTATCATAGGCCAGTGTGTGTGTGTATTGAATAAATACGTAAAAAGGTAGAATGAATAGTGGGGGGAAATTATTACTCTTGAGGCAAAATTCCAACAATTATAGTTTTTTTAAAGTCATGTGTGTGTCTCATTTGGGCCACAACCTCCAAAATTCCATAGGCAGCCAAGCAACTGAATGCCACTTGATTTTTTTAAAACTAAATTTCCCAAGTTCTGATCTTGAGGTGCCCCCCTCCACAAAGCCAGCTAAAGGTATTATAAATTATTGTATCCTCACTTTATTCTCACAACAGTCTTATGAGGTGGGCTATCAGGTGTACAAGAATGCTTCTTTTTCTAAGGCTGAGCAGTGATGGCAATCTGAATTTTTTTGCACCCGACCCCAACATTGTAGCCACCCCACTACAGCTGCTTTCTTCAAGTTTTCACACAACGATGGATACTGCTCTTTTAAAATTTCTATTTACCTGATGTCATTTCATTGCAGAGGATATATTTTTATTTGATATTCATATTTTTTTAAAAAAACTGAGCAGAACCACCCTTATATATATTTGGCATTGATTTCTGGTTGAGCAGCATTACTACTCTGGAAGACACTTAGTTCTCTTCAAATATCCTTTTCATTCTTTATTTATTGCACTTAATTGTTGCATGGAATTATGTACCCTTTCCCCCATTATCAAATTTAATCTCTTCCATCAGTTTTGTTGCTATGTCCCTCCCAGTTGATTTTGACTGATGGCAATTCTATCATAGGCTTTTCTTGAAACATTTATTCAGAGGAGATTTGTCATTGCTTTCCTTTAAGACTGAGTAAGGAGTTCCAAAAGAAAATCAGTATGTGCTTTATAGACTATAGCAAAGCCTTTGACTGCATAGATCATGAAAGGCTATGGAATGCCCTAAAAGACATGGGAGTGCCAACACATCTGATAGTCCTGATGAGGAATCTGTACTCAGGAAAAGAGGCTACTGTCAGAACAGAAGACGGAGAAACAGAATGGTTCCCAATTGGCAAAGGAATCAGATAAGGCTGCATCCTATCACCCTATCTATTCAACTTATATGCAGAACATATTGTAAGGAGAGCAAGCATGGACATGGAAGAGGGAGGAGTGAAAATAAGAGGAAGAAATAGCAACA